TTAAGTGGAGATTGCAGGGGGCTTTAAGACTCAGATTTTCTCATGTGGCTGCCTGCACAGTCATGTCCCCTCTCGTGTCCATTGCCTTCTTAAAAATGTTCTTTTTTCTTCATGGCAGTCTTTGCATCCCATTGCCAGTTTTTCAACTGACAGGACCAAGGTTGCTGCCTACTTTTTTGGTTGAAATAATGGCTAGTGGGAAAGAGAAGAAATGGTGCTGGAGTATGTAGCCACTGGTACAATTCTGTACTTCGTGCTGATAAGCCCTGGTTAGTGGATGGGGAGATCTACAAAAGAGCTGTTGATAACAACACTTTTAAATAAAACCAGAACAACAACATGTAAATGACTCTAAAACTGTCTGTCACTGAGTTGGAGTTACCCAGTTGTGTCCCTTGTCCTTTCAGACTGACTAGTTCAGCAAGGCAGTGAGAAGATGTTCCTGTCACCAGAGACCTCAGGGGTTTCTTCAAACTTGCTTGTAACCATGACATAGTATCATGACGACAAGATGGAGTAATTAATGAGGTGTCCACATGCATATAGGAGTTTAAATAAAAAATTGACTATATTTATTAAAATATACCTAGATTCATGTTTATAAAGATTAATGTTCCAGGTGTGTTGAGCAGTAACACTAAGTAATAAAATCAAGTCCACTGGTGCTTCTACAAATCAGCCCTTAATTTACTCTTTACATAGCACGAAAAGAATTTCAGAGTATCACATTGTATAAGTAGGTTCATCAGGCTGCACAGGGACTAAATCTTTTCCTGTGAGCAGCAGACAGATGCTGCTCCCCAGCATTTTAGGTGGTTGTTTAATGTTGGCCTACCTGTTCTTTTGATACCGCTTTTTTCTGCGCATCATTTCTCTTCAGTGAAAGGAAGGGTTGGCTTTTTGAACCATCAGATCAACTGGCCTCAAGGAGGAAAAGAAAGCAAGCTCATAGAGTTAAATGAATCGTAGAATCTATCAAATTGTATCAACTGGAAATCACTTTTTAAAATGGTCATTACTCAAGAGTCTGGCAGAGCCACATCTATTTAATTGCTTCTGTTCCCTGCAAAGACTGAAGCTGTGGTCTTTGAAGAAGAAATGTCACAACTGAGGCAGGCGTGCTGCTTACGGGCTGGCTTCAAATGGGCCTCGGGGTGCTGGAGAACAGTCTGGACAAGCTGAAGAGGAACAATCCAGTCTGAAAGAACCAACAGAATTAATTCCGGAGTTCCAGCTCCCTGCCAGTCTTACTTAACTGCAGCATCTAGAACTTTATCTAGTTCATGCTAAACAAACTGGGAAAATAGCAAAGGATAGTATAGGAAAGGAAACTGGTAGTGAATAGACTTTTCAGTTAATGTGTCTAAGGAATGAATTTTAAGACATTTTGTCTTCTTCTTGGATATGTGGTAAGAAAATAAATGAGAACGAGAAAATGAGAAAAAAACGACAGGTATCTGGAGCATTTTAGCAGCATAAAAATGGAAATAGTATATAAAGGACGCATTTAAGAGAATAAGTAGTTGTAGGTATTGCAATCTTTTTTTGGCATGGTATGTTTCAATATTTATTTATTTAAGCCATCAGAAGTAATCAGATAATTTTATCTTTGATATTATGTATTGTTTTTCTAGTTAGTAGAATAAGTGAGTGAAATCTTTTATTCGATCAGAGTGTAGGTATTTCTGTCCTGAAAAATACTAAAAAATTGCTCCACAGGCCAACATGAAACTTTCACTGATCTACCCATGGAGCTAAGTCTCCTTGTATAGAAAGATTTCAGTACATTAGAGCATCACATATGCTGAGTTAACTGCGTCTGATGTCGTGATGCCCTTCTTGAAGGTATAATTTTAAACCTTTATCCATTGCTTATCCTAGAGCTGGAATCCATCTTTTTTCACTCCCAAAGAGAGGTTTAGAGTGAATCATAGAAGTCTTCAGATAACTAGCTTTGCCATCCTGAACTATGTTGAACATCTTTGGCTTTCGTTCCTAGAGAGAGGACAAGAGATTTAGACAATAGCTTATTAGGTGTTCACTCATCTCACAGAGAGTCTTTGAGAGGACTACAGTATATTATATTTTCTTCCATGGATATGGCTCCTAATCACAACTTCCTCTCAGTTCTTGAAAGAAATATAGATTATCTGGTACCTAGATTAAATCGTCAAGTTCATTTCTTTTCACGACTTTTCCTTGTCAGGCCTCTTGAAACAGGTAAGGTTAATGTATACTGTTTTCACGGAAGGCAAAGCTTGAAAAGGTTGGATGGCTACATAGTTCCAGTACTAGAAATCTCTCCCTGCCTCCCCCTGGTTAATTTTTATTTCTACAGAAGGCTCACTCATCAAGCCAAGAATATACAGCTATAAATATTCCTTCAGCATTTCTCTACTGCAAGACATAGTGTACAATTGAAGTTCCTGATCTCAAGAACTAAACTCCAACAGTCTACATTGGAGGCTGGATCCAGGACTCTTTGAAGTCACTGAAAAAACTCCCATCAAATTTAGTAGTTTGCGAATCTTTAGGGCATCTTCTACAAGGAATCAGGTCCACTTAGATTTAGCTGTGTTTTTTGGAAGGGAATTAAATGTTGATTTTACTGCTTAGGCACATAAAAGGTAGGCATTATTGTCAAGCTGTGAAAAGAATACAGCTTGTCCTCTACCTGGGGACTGAACAGGGCTCTTCTTCCTCAGTGAGCTCCAGTCTCCAATCCATCATACATGTACCTGCCCATGCTTCCATTAGGAGAATAAAGTCAGAGAGAGGAATACAGGATATATTCCTACCTCTCTTCTCTTCACATATCCTCTGGGGGAGTTCAATACCAAACACAGATGGAAAGCAGCAGGCACCTGTACCTTTTTAAGGGGATGCACCTCTCTTTATAAGAAAAAGAGCTTCCTTGTATAGAATCATAGAATCATTAAGGTTGGAAAAGACCTCTAAAATCATCAAGTCCAACCGTCAACCCACCCTACCATGCCCACTAAACCATGTCCCTAAGCGCCTCATCTACACGTCTTTTAAATACTTCCAGGGATGGTGACTCCACCACTTCCCTGGGCAGCCTGTTCCAAGGCCTGACCACTCTTTCAGTAAAGAAATTTTTCCTAATGTCCAGTCTAAACCTCCCCTGGCGCAACTTGAGGCCATTTCCTCTCGTCCTATTGCTAGGTACTTGGGAGCAGAGACCAGCACCCACCTCGCTACAACCTCCTTTCAGGTAGTTGTAGAGCGCGATGAGGTCCCCCCTCAGCCTCCTCTTCTCCAGGCTGAACAGCCCCAGTTCCCTCAGCCGCTCCTCATAAGACTTGTGCTCCAGGCCCTTCACCAGCTTTGTTGCCCTTCTCTGGACATGCTCCAGCACCTCAATGTCCTTCTTGTCGTGAGGGGCCCAAAACTAATCACAGTATTCCAGGTGCGGCCTCACCAGTGCCGAGTACAGGTCAATCCACTACTATATTGAAGTGCTTGCAGCCTGTGGTGGGTTGACCTTGGCCGGTTGCCAGGCACCCACCCAGCCACTCTTTGCCCTCCTCAACAACACTGGTTGGTGGAGAAAACATGATGAAAAAGCTCATGGGTCGAAGTAAAGACAGGGAGATCACAAAGCCAATGTATTGTTTAGCTATGCTCAGTTCTGATACCCTTTGCCAGAAAACAGACATTTCTGTCATGAGGGTAAGAGAGCAAATGAAAAAAATGGTTGTAGACTGCAGCCCCAGAGATTCCCAAACTATCAGGATTGTAGAAAACTAGGTATGAAATTCTTATGCCTGTGGAAACAAGGACCAGTGGTTTAGTGCTGGTCAGAGTGGCTCAACAACACTTAACACCAGATGAGCCTAAAGAAGAAAATATATCAGTTTTAATAAAGGAGAGATATGTTTTAATTATTATGTTGAAAATACAGAAGAGAAGTGTGCAAATGAGAAAACAAATGTACCCAATACCAATCTCATGTTCTGTCTGTCACTCAAATTTTCCCTGTTGGCGTCTCTGTGGAGGCCGTGGGGCTAGCTCACAAAATGCTGCCTCCTGAGAGGCAGTTTGCCAGCTGGAGTTTGGGGCTGTATTTAGCCACAGGAACCAAAAGGTCAAGTCCATATCACTTTGCTTCCTATATTCTGTCTTTTGGAATCAGACGACAACATTAATAAATGCGCTAACGAGTTCACTCTGTATCTACCCTGGCTTCCTTGCCAGGGAGCTTTTTTTTGAGATGGACCCCTTCCTCTCTTTACATTTTTCTTCTCATAATTTATTTCCTGGTACTTCCCTTACCGCCAGAATGCAATTTCTGGCTTTAGATGAGATATAACTGTGATAACCTGTGGTTCTTCTTTCCCCATTCTTTGAGATTGAGATATAAAAGGGAAATGGAGCAAATTACTCCTTCCTCTTTGCTGAGATTGTCTTCCTTTCCAAACTGTTACAATAAATAATTTACCATGAGACATACTCACTGTGCACATATCTTAGCCATCTCTGTATTCCTGGTTCTCATCTTTTCCTACATTATGGCTAACTTAGTGGACGTAAGGGCATGTATGTTTCCTTGGATGCAGGGTGAAGAGACTCAGCCCCATCTCAGGGCAAGCCTGGGCCCACGTTCGCCTTGCTCGTACCGCTGGTATCATGGTGTCCAGGGAAGGCTCAGGCTCATGGTCCAGGAGGAGCTGTGGCACACTCTGGACAGGGTCCAGACCTGGACAGCTAGGTGATCATGCAGCTGAGACACACCATTACCACCAGACTTGATGCAGCTGCAGAGCCATAGCAAGTCCATATTACTAATATAAATGACAGATTCTGCATTTAGAGTGGGTTTTTTTTCAGAATAACTTCTGCTTTTTTTAAAGTACCTTTCCTGTCTGCCCCTTTCTCAGTTTTGGTGCTTCTGCTGTCACAACTCTCTAATTGGAAATAAATCAGTTGCAACAGCTCAGTGAATTGTTCTTTTTCTTTTCTTATGTTTCTTTTTGCAGATCGCACAGTAGCTGAAATTGAGAAAGAGATTATAGAAGCTTTTGAGGTGTTTGACCATGAATGCAATAGAACTGTGGATGTCAGGTTTGTAAATATCTTCACACAGAAATATTACAGGATCAAGTATAGAGATAAATAACTCCCTAAACCTGCATCTGCTTTATCAGAAAATGTAATTGAAACAGTCCTTTTGGCCCTGATCAGACAAGTATGTCTTTGCTTATTTAATAGACATTTTGCATTGTTCAGTGGTTGAAGACTGAGACTGGCTTGAGAGAGGGATGCTGGGACTGGTGGAGTCAAGAGGCAAGAGGAAACTGCCGCTAGACAAGAAGTCTAAGGTTACAATTATTACTAGCAAATCTCTGCTCTGATAGCTCATTTGGCACTATAGGTCCTGGATCCTGTATGGATCCCCTTGCTTTCAGGTTAGTCCCAGCACATCAAGGAGTGTCCCTGCCTGCTCTCAGTAGATGTCCCCAACTACAGTGCATCCTGCTCATCTCTCTTCCTCTGGGGTAATGTGGGAGGTGGATGTTGCTCTGAGAGGGAGGTGGTTTTAGGAGACTTGGAAGCAAATGGCATATAATTTGATTATACAATAATAGTAGTAGTAGTAGTAGTAGTAGTAGTAACAATAATAATGATAATGATAATAATAATAATAGAACATAAAGGTGATCATACTTGATTGCACCAAAAGTCCATTTAGCCCAGTATTCTCATCTGAGCTACTAGTAGTTAGTCGGTGGAGCAATATACGGAATTGAGCAAATACGCAGTATTTCTTGTTGTTTTTTGTACATCTGCCACATTATGATTTGAGTGGCGCCTGGGTTTTTTTTGTCTTGGATAAATAGCGAACAATTGTTCTCTATTAATATTATGTTCTCTATTAATGATTGCATAGCTGTCTGTCACATCCCTCCTCCGTCACAGTAGTTTAAGGCTGAAGAGTCCGGATGTGTTTCATCTCTTAGGAGATGCCATTCCATAGCTCTGGCCATTCTTTTTTGTGTTCCTTCCTGTTCAGCTATCTCCTTTTGAAATGGGATGACCAAAATTGGGTTAATGGGATGCACAGATTGGAGTCAGGAGGAAGAGCTGCGTGTTCTATACCTTTAGCATGCTATGTTGTGGAAATACAAACAAAATATATGTCTGAGGGAGTAAGCAAAAGTTCAGTGGAAGAAAAAAACACGGACTGTTAGACTGATCAGGGCATAACTGGCTACAAGATACAGAGCTAAAGGAAGTAAAATTTTAAAATTGCCAAATAATCTTAATTCTGGTGTTTTTTAATTCTGGTATTTTTTAAGTTTGACTATTTGACAGTGCTATTTTAACTTCATTTTAACATAAACATCCATACAAACAATATGGTTTGTGTTACAACATACAGAAAACACACGTTTATGTCTCACTGAGCAGGTTCTGAAGTTGTTACAAGCTGTTGTCATTAAAGTTTACTGAAGTAATTTTTCATATCTCCAATTAGTATTTTCATAAGAATATCACCAGAGCTTTTAGTTTTAAATCAATTATTGAGTATAAACACTACAAAGGAGTGTGAGAACTGGTGAAATTGCTGTCATTAGACATGCCTCACAAAGCCAAATTGGCAAACATCTTTAGATGTTCCAAACATTTTTTCTACATTAAACAACAGAGGCTACAAAATATTTATGTGATGGTTTTAGCAATACATGCTTACTAGTGCCTCTAAATTTAAGAAATTATGGGTACTTCATAGAAGTGAAATGATTTTTCAGTTGTACTAGGTAGGGATAATTTCAGGGTACATCTCCACACTCGGTACCATTGCTGTTCCCTAGCCCATAGGGCTCTTCGGGAAGAGTGCTCGCTTAAATCTCTTGGCCCATCCCCAGGGAGGTGCCTGATGCTGGGGGCTGGGGCTGTCCCAGTAACCCCCGGCTGCCCTGCTCCTGGCTGGGCGGTGGGACGGGCCCTGGCTGCCCAGCCCTGCCTTGCTACCCGCCATGGGGAGTCCCTGCCACTACCAACCCCCCCAGCCCTGGGGAGCCCCTAGCCCTCACTGCACCATGACATACTAGTTGCTTATTTGTTTGCCATTGACATCTGCAGTCCTGGCTAAATAGCTGTAAAATTTGCTACACTCCTCACTCTATTATATAATGGATATAGCGCTTGATAAAATGTTACAACAATGAAATGATACAGATAGACTTTCTTAAAAATTTGTTAATTCAGACAGTAAGTCATAACATGTGAGAGTGGACATTTGAAAGTCTATTTAACATAGTAAATGCACAATTTCACATTAATTTTTTATCATAGTACAGTTACCGACAATGAACAATAATTTATTGTCTAATTATTCCTAGCTTCATATTGCAGGGCTGTAGCACAATAACGGGATTATTAATGGCTGATTATCTTGTATCAGAAGGTGGCAGTACAGCACAATTCTTAACCACAATTGTAGACGTATGAATATTATTGCCTGCAATATCAGATACCTGTGAAGAATATGGAAAATTACCCTGGCTTGACAGGCCAACACCAGTATTGCATGACTCCTAATGCAAATGCAAGTTACTAAGAAATTAAGTGTGAGGAAGACAGTATTGTTTCATGCTGCTTACAACACCCCCTGAGTCAAGGGCTTTCATGATTTTGTGAATCTTGTTGTTGTTATATCTAGGGTGAAAACCATGACCCAAAATTTTATTGCATCTGTGTTACAAAACCTGTATGGACATAAACTCGTTTTAACCATCATTTTTATATGCTAGAAACTACACAGCAGAAACTGCAGCTGCTGAGCTAAGTGAGAGGAAGTGGCTGGGAGGAAAATGCAATTTCCTATCTGGGTCCTTTAAACTCCATGTTACTACCAAATGTGACATGACTTTTTTGACCACAGACACTTCAAACAATATCCTCATGCTGGCACACGGACAGACTGCCAGAAACAGCAGTCAGCAATGCCAGATTTTGCAAACTCTTTCAGGGCCTGGCTTACCGTAGTAGCATCGCAGTTTTGCAGATGTGAGAGGTGAGGCAGGAGGTTGATGGCAGCCTTCCCATCTCTGGCAGTCTGAGAGAGTAGAAATAGTGTGGGACAGCAGGGAGGCATGTTTTGGGTTGTGTGTTTTACTGGGGGAGGCAGAGAATATTTACAAGTATCTTTTAGCTGGAAAAGATGAGGGAGTGCAGGAGTGAGAGCATCAAATACAGTATGCCCATACTAGAAATAGGATGCATGGACAAGGATTATAAAAATAGGACTAAATCTCTGACCTCACAGAAGCCAATGGCCAAACTTCCATTCACGTCCACAGGGGGCAATGTTTCACTGAGCCATTTGAGCAGATGGCTTCTTTTCATAACAAATGTATATGTGGGACTGGGTTTTGTTTTTTAACTATTTTTGTGCAGCCAGCCTTTTCTTCTCTTTTGTCTATTGTAGTGCTTCTCACATGTTTTCAGTCAGAATTGGAGCTCCTTGGGACCTGTCTGAGGAGGCCAAAGACTGACCTGTATAATTTTACGTGTGCTTGGTGTGCCACTTTTAGTGCCTTACTGTTGTAAGATGATTTTACAAAGGTCGTTGCTTCTTGTATCTACCATTTTTATTAGGCAATCTATTTTTTCCACCAAATGTACTGAGGAAACCACAGAGGTTTGAATCATGGGAACCACCAGCACTGTGGATACTTACTCAAATGTGCTTGAATTTCTGTGTCGTAGAATTGGACTTCAAATCACAAGCAATATTGATGCTTCTGTTACTTTGTTTTCAATCATACCATAAATCTCATTAGTACTCTTTTTTACAGCTTTTCAGTACTTTTGCGTCTAGTTTGTGATGTTGTTCGTCTTTAACTTTTTTGAGGCATTGCCACTTTGGTCAGAATTTTATTTAGAGCCTCGGAACAACTGCACCGGGTTCAGCAGTAAATGCACGCTATGAATATATTTTGCAGCATAAACAGGGTGGTGATAAGCCAGTGTATTGGTCCGTTCGACTCTTTCAAAGCACAGCAGGGGCATAGCAGGGCTGCCTCCTTACTGACCTTTTGTAATTGTTCTTTCCTGCAGTTAAAATTTGCATCTTTATAGCTTTTAATGTAAACATATAGGTTTCAAAGTGTTTTATTAACTATATAAATGTAGACTTTACTGAAATTAAGCTTAACAATTAGAAGACAGCAGTTGAAAAGTAATCTGCACGCAGTACACTGCAACACAATGGTAAAGAATTTTTGGGGAAAGTCACAAGAGCAATTATACTCTTCCGAAAAGCTTCAGAGTATTTAATGTCTGTAAGAATAGACATTGCTTACTGAGACATCATCTTAAAAGTCCACATACATGTGCTTATGTGCTTGTACATGCACACTCCTGTACGCAAGCTCTGAACTGGTATCTGGATTCTCCACAGACACTCTTGTATTGCAGATTTACTGACAAAGATGTTCTTTCTTTCTTTCAGAGAGATTGGGTCAATTGTCAGGTCGCTGGGTTGCTTCCCTACTGAGGCAGAACTACATGAACTGCTTGCAAAGGTAAATGTTTAGACTTTTTGTATTTTTTTCAGTCTTAAACTTGCACAAGTTTGGCCCTTCTGCCTTGCTGTGTGGGAAACCTAACCCCTTTTCCCAGAGGTTGGAAGTGTCATGGAAGTGATTCAGGCAGGCAGGCAGTCTCTCAGGTTGCCCTGAAGCAAGCCTTTAGGCTGGTGAGGTAACAACATTGATGGGTTAAAATGAGGAGTCTTTGACTCTACCCCAGAAGGTCACTGTGACACTGTGCCAAGGTGGAGGGGCGTTTACAGAAAATGGAGGAAAAATTGGTTTTGGCTGATGAAAAAGAATGTCCTAAACCTCAGTCGGATTAGGATATCCAAACCCTAACCATCTTACTCTTCTGGACACATCATGGACACATACTGATGATTAAGTAATAAAAATTAGTTCTTGAGCAGGTGTTAAAATTATACATCAAATTCCAAAAATACACAGAGGGAAGACCTGCTATGTTTTTTCTCTGGGTCCTGTTATTGCTATCTTATAGCTAGACCTCTCAACTTTCTGTCCTACCTGAGGTCTCTCCCAGTTTTGAGATTTCGCGGTTACAGATAAGTAATCTTTCCTTACTTGATTACTTAAGCCTGTAAGTCAGAATTCAGACATAAAACCTCGCAAGACCTAGCGAGGGGGAGGAAACCTCCCATTCTCCCAGTGATACACAGGGGTAAGGAACTTCAGTCACATTACTCCACAGTTTTTCTCCTACACTAATTTTTGTCTCCTTACCTCATGCTTGTAATAGAAAGGATGGTGTGCTGGTGCCTTGGCAGCGTATGGTTAATAAATGGGACAAAGAAGTGGGAAAAAGACTTCACATTCTTTTAGCAAATGTATATGCTGCCTTAAGGAATGGAAGATGCTGTGGCTGAGAGGTGGGGGAAGGATTTTTCTCGTTTTCATGTATAGGTCAGGATACAGGGAACTGATCTCTCACTCTTTTCGTCCTGTCCCCAACAAAAATTTGGATGGTTGCAGTAGTAGTCTCTCCTCAGTAGCCTTGTCTGGTCTCTTGTAGATCAGAATTTAGCGTAAGGAATCTTGTGCTACGTCTTGTGAAAATGACGCAGCTGCTTCAAATGAGGAAGTGCAAAGAACCATCAGAGGAGAAAGATCTTTTAACATGATACTGCAATCTGTCTGCACTGGTTCTGTACTCTCAGTACCAGATTGTCCCAGCTCCCACTGACAAACAATACAAAATGGAAAAAGAAATTATGGTGCTTAATATAGATGATATTTTTAGTGGCCCACAGAGATTTTTGTTTGCAGCAAACGAACAGTGCAACTGAACAGTGCAACTGACTCAAGATACAGAATTGAGAAAAGGAAGGGGATGCTTCGACCCCCCCTCCCACAGTCCAGGGGAACCAGGAGAGTTTAAGGCCTGCCTCCCCCTCCCAAAGAGATTGAATTTACTTTTTTTTTCCCCCCCAATTTTCAGCATTACTGAAAATTTGAGATAAGTAATACATAACAAAGCACAATGCAATGCAGCTATGAGGCGGAAGATTCTTGAGATACAACAGTATAACATGTATGCAATTGTTGATTATAAGAATATTAAATTAAATACAAATATTGCAGGAAGAAAAAATACATTCCAGAGTAATGATTAACCTTAAAGAACACTGAACTGGAAGTTAGATCTCAAAGAAGGTTTCATGGTGTCTGTAAATGAAACCTTGGCATAGGTTTAGTACCAGAAGAACACTATCTTCTTGCAGAACCATTAGTGTATTATGTTAATCACTAATATATCTTAATTTGTATAAGATACCATTACTCTTACTGTGATAATACCATTTTATCTTAATCTAGATAAAGTAAAATTGTCTCTGTTGGCTGGTTTGTAACCAAGTTATTTCCGCAGTATTTTTGCCCATTGTAAGCTGTGGTTCATTTCTGTTTCTCACTACTTGTGTCTCTCAGTCATCTGTCTTCCTATTAGCCTTATTGTATCTAAACTAGCTTATGTTGCCTTCAAATAATTCCTGTCTGCCAAATCAGCATTCATATAATTATTTTATCTCTAAAAATTATCATATACTGTTTCCTATTTTGCCTTATGCTAAATGCTGTACTTAGTATCATATCTTCAGGCCTACTTACAAAGTTAAGATTAAATGATAAGCCTAGAGATGGTGAAAGCTAATCTGAGGGTTACTACAATGCCTGGAGTTTGAAATCCCAGGTTCAGTGCACTGCTCTGCTACAGATCGGCTGGATAACTCTGGAAGATGTTTTTGTTTCTTTGTGACTCAAGTGTCCAAATGTTACGTGGACAATAATAGTATGGCTGTGAGAGTAAAGATATGAAACACAACAAATGCTACAGTACGGTTGTTATGGGAGCTGTGGATGTACCCAAAAGAAAGAGACATACAAAACTCACAGAGTTTGAACAAGCAAATACTGTTATTGTCACAGCCACTGTGAAAAGGGGAGGAATTACAGAAAAAAGAAAACATCAATGGGAAATGAGGTATAGAATAGGAGTGAGCATGAGGAAGAGTAAGAGGATATACATATACCTGCAAATCTGAATACTTACTGACTTAGGCGAGGTTAATATATTCAGTTTACTCACATATCTACCCAATGTTAGAAATAGGATTAATTTTAACAGTTCAAGATATTGCTGAGCCTGTAGAGCCACTGAAGTGGAAGCTCTTCTTTCCAGGTCAGAGGAAACTGAGGTTGCTCATCACCTCCCAGGACTAGGTCCATTGTCAGGAAGGACACGTTTCTTCCACAGACTGCTTTCTGAAGGCAAAATACAAATAGCACACCAACAAAAAGAGGCAAATCTGGATGATATTTGTCAGTGAGGGCTGACAATTTCACAGGTATTTGTTACGTTGAGCTTTGAAGTGGTCATTGCCGGTAAGTTCTGGTTTGAAGGTTAGGATGGTCTTCAACTGTTTGGATGAGGAGATCTAATGTTTTTTGGCTCTTAAACATGGTTTATATAACTTACCATCTTCATGGATGTTTTGGGTCCTTGCTTTTGGTTGTTCCGCTTAATATAAGACACATCTATCTATTTCTGATAAATAGCTACCATATTTCTTTTTCTGTCTCTGTGGACTTCTGACCTAATACTAGTTGAAGCACAGATGTTCCCTAAAACATCCTGTGTACTTATACATCTCAGTATTTGTGGTGCATGGAATAGTTCAGTGTATTGGCTAACTGTTACGTCACTGGAAAGAAGTTAAATTTTGCCAGGTATTTTGTTACATCTTTTCAATCAAGCAAGCAGTAAAACAAATGATTCTGTAATGGTAAAAGGTACCATTTGATTTACTATGAAGCATGCAACAGCTTCATTTCCTTGCTAAAGATCTCTTCCGCTAGGCTCACCAAACAGAAGGGAAAAAGTGCTTTTTCAAGCCAATTTCCACTCTAAAGCAGCAAGAGGTGGTGGCTGCCTGCTTTTAGCAACCAAAACCTTTCAAGAACACTGGAAAAGAGTATGTAGCAGCAGTTGCATTTCAGCAACTGGATGTATCAGGCATCACCCCAGCTCTGACCCAGCTCCCAGGAGGAAGATTTCTTACTTCGTCTTTTCCTGGCTCGGTTAGGAAATTTCAGATCAGTGCCTATTTGAGTCTTCTTTCAATCTGAGCTGTGTCTTGGAGAGCCTAGCAAGGTGTCGCTGCTGCCATGTGAGACCACAAGGCATGCATCCAGTTTCAACACAGACAGGAACAGGCTAGCTCCATTAAGAGGCCTCCTTTTGGGAGTAAAACTTGAAATTTTCAGGGAAGGGATGCTCCCTGATGATAGGGAGCAGTTTTTACCATGGTGCTCATCTCCTGTGGAAGTACAGGAATGCAGTGAGAATGCTGCTAGAAGTCCCGGACGTTTTGGGACTAATCTGTTAATTTGTTTGGGAGGCAAAGGGAAGCTTTTCTTTGTGTAGCATTTTATGGGCTGCCTTATGACTGTTTCAGACTGCCCTGACTCAGTCTGCCTGCCTCTCTGGTCCTTCCCCTGACAACTCTCTCTGGCTATGAAACATGTGGAGGCAACAAGTTCCATCCTTGAGGTGTCCTAGACTGGGGCTATGTCCAAACTAGCACATTAAATATGCCCAGAAACATCCTTGGGTGTTGAAGCCAGCTGGCACAGAGCAGCTCATGTCTACCCTGGTAAATGTTTTATGCGGAGTGGCTGCACAAAGCAGCCTGCTGGAGAACAGTCCCTAAGGTCCTAGCCAGGCCTGGTGACTGCTGGGGGGAGCATTAGATGGCACAGGCCAAAATCATGCCAGGGAACGTGCTAATGGTTTGCTGTTACGGGTGGTCACATTACACTGCTTGGGGATGTTCCAGGTCCTGCTAGATTTTACTAGTATGAATGCAGTCTGAATGTTTAAACCTCGGCTGAGTTATTGTGGAAGATAAGATCAGTTACTAGGCATCCGGTTCCTTTGCAGAAATGGTTTCTAAGCACAAGAGGGCAATATTGAGTTGTTGGAAGTGTCTATAATAGCAGGCCTGTGTTTTGCCTGGGATATTATTTCTTCCTCTAATTTCTTTCTATTTGATCACAAGCATTTCACTCACATGTTATCTTGCCATGTGATACTAAAAACCTGATATAAACATCCGAAGTCTAACTCTGTAATTTTAATGCAGGAACCACCCCAATGTTCTGGTTTTCGTATTGGTTTGCTAATGAGTCATATAACCTGCCATACTTAAGTTTTATTTTTAGGTAGAAGAAGAAGAACCGACTGGATACATTCATCTGGAAAAATTTCTTCCAGTGATGACAAAAGTACTACTCGACAGAAGGTAATGGAAAGTGGATTTTTTGTGTCTGTAGTTTATTCCAGATTGACAGGGTTGATTCTGAATAAATATATCTGCAGTAATTTAGTGTAACTGGAAGGAATACAGATTTTTTTTGTTATTTAAACTCAGTTTACATTAGCTTCATAGGTTTTGTTTTAAAATTACTTCGTCTACATAAAATTATGTTGTACGGATGATGTAAATAATAACAGCTTATAATAGTGAATTGTGATAATGTGTAGCTTTTGTATTTTTAATGTGCATCAGAATTAACTTGCTATTCAACATGTTTTGTGCATCTCTGAAATATTTTATATGCAAATTAAGGTCATAACCATTACTTTCTCTGAACATGTGAGTTACACTTACTGAGAAGCACAGTCTGTTACAGTATATTTTTAATAAGTTGTATAAATCAGCTTCATGTTCATGTCTCAAAATGACTGCCAGGTACAGTTGAATGTACACAACTAGCACTCTAAAAGACTGCAGATCTAGAAGTCTAGAACAAAAACGCTGTTCATTATTCAAAGGTACATAGAAATTTTTGCATGTACACAGGAACTTGTGCTATTTTGATATTTTGCACTAAAAGCAAGAATATTTATAGGGAATTTATCTTTCTTTTTAAAGATGGTAGCCAAGGGGAGACTCAGTCTTGTCCAATACTGAGAAGTTATTTTACACACAGAGGGCCTTTGGTAGGAGGGTGTTCTACACATGAAATAGCTATAGAATTTCCCAAAACTGTCTCGCAGCATCCAGAGGCAGCGGGGTCCACCTTGGGGCTGTGTTTGAGAGTCTTTGCGCCTGTGCCTGGACACGGACCAGCCATCAGTGTTTGGGTCCCGGTGTGCCGGCACAGGTGCATTGCCTTCCCAGGTTCCTGCACCTTTGCCTTCTCTGGCCTTCATGGCACATTTCTGGTTCCACACTGATGTTCACCCTTTAACAAAATGAGACCTTGCTGCTCTGGGCTCTCTTCTTCTCCGCCACACCCCCTCCACACAAACATACACACACACACACACACACACACACGCACATATGCAAAAACTCCACACACTTTCCCCAGGCTAGTGCAGGCTTGTCAAGACCCACTTTATCTTTTGGGGCACTATGTCCATAGTTCACTTATCCAAGGGCACATGAGATTTGGATCACAAAAAACAAGGCCTCTTCTTAGCCCATTTGATTTTTAGATAGTAAAAGAGCAAGGTGGATCTGGACGAAACAATCAAGCAGTTAGAACCTCCCTGGCTTCAATGTCTTCTCTTTAGTATTCTTGGGGGTTCGTGAGAGTCTGCTGGGATATGGAAGGACTCCATTGCTGCACAGGGCTTCCTTTCCTGCTCTGAAATCAGGCATACATATGCATGCACACACGTGCCCAATTCTCCTGTCTCTCTGAAATTGCTAGTGACAGACCTTTTCTTTTATAGCTACCAGCCTCCTTTGCTCATCATCAGCTCATTAGAGTTGATTGTCTGGGACTGTCAAAGTCCCACTAGGTGATCTGTTGCCTAGCTACCAGCGTACCTGGACAAAACTTTGTTTTCTTGGTTTGGCCATCTTCTGTTCCGTGCATTGGCTACGTGGAATGATTCAGCTATTATTGATTCCTACTAACCCACTCAGCCAGCCCAGACATGCAGAAGCCATTCATCTGGCTCCTTAGCACAAGGAAAATTAAACAGGAGTACAATAAAAGACGTAAGAGGTAAAGATATGGACTGTTCCAAAAAGTAAAGCTGGAATTAAATGTTTGATAGGCAAACTTTGTAAATTCTCGTAGAAAATATGTTTTCCCTTTTCTTTAGTATTCATATTTTATTCTTTCAGATTAGTACAGCAGCCTGGCAAACAGTGACTTAACTTTTCTTATTCAATGGTTTCAGCTACCGGCCTATTCCAGAAGATGTTCTTCTACATGCATTTGAGGTCTGTAACTAAATATTGGAGTACCTAATTGCTGGAAAGAAGTTGCTGATTCTTGATTCAATATGGTTAAACCCACAAGTTTTATTCTTTTTCTTTAAAGGCTTTGGATGAGAATAAACGTGGATATATTACTAAAGACGAGCTGGTCAAATATTTGACTGAAGAAGGTAACATGACTCTTGTAATATCAGTATTTAAGTAAATAAACATTACATGTGTATATGGCACCTTGAGGTCCTCATTCTGCATGCCAGAACTTGTGGGAGTAGATACATTGTCTTCAAACAATACTGTTGCCAAGATGAGTGGCTGCAGACTAGAACATTTCACTGGCTAATAATGCAGGGAAAGAACATTTATCTGCCTGCTTGCAGACATTATGAGAGAGAGATTATTATTATTAAGAGTCATAATTCACTCTTGTGTGAATATTTTATGATTCTGTGCACAACTCCGTGCTTCCTAAGGATATGCCTCTTTTTCTGTCCTCCTGTAAAACTGTAGTTTAGATTTCCAGATGTTTCAGGTAGTTTCAGTGCTCATTCATTCCTACATTATCTTGATCTTAATTCTAGTGCCATATGCAAACAAAGAGATTCAAAGACCAGATTTAAGTTGTATATCATGTAATCCTCAATATCCCTTGAAGAGCTTGCTTTTCTTGCATGGCTGACTCATGCCAGCCTGCCTCAAGTACAAAGCGATGTGCAGGCTTTGCGCAAGACCTATCCTCAGATGGGGACCTTGTTCTCGAAGAGGGATGCAGTAGGCCATCAGCAGCTTTGAAGCTCCTAAAAGAGAAAAACAAGAAGCCTTTCCTGATGTAAATACAAGTGAAAGGATAGCCAAATGAGAGATAATAATTCTAATGTACACGTTAGAAGAGTTCACTCTGATAAAAACAGTTGTTTCGAAATCCATGTGGCAGAGAGGAGCAGGCTGTTTTGGAGTCTGTGAACTAAAAGAAGATTAGAAGATCCAGGGCCTCTGTCTCCTTTCCAGCTTGCTTAGACCAGCTTGCTTGGTGTGCAGGACTTACATTGGCAAAAGTGAAGGAATTGGATCCTTAGTATTGCCCCTTTTCTCCTCTGTGTGAGGACTGAAAGGAGATCCTTGCAAAGGAAAAGCAGGGTAATTTACCAGCCCTGAAAAGAATATTTATCAAGACAAAGTGTTATTCTCTGCTGTCTTTTAGGTGAGCCCTTTACTGAGGAAGAAATGGAGGACATGCTCTCCACGGCTCTAGATCCAGAAACAAATACTGTTCGCTACAGAGACTACATTTCAATGATGATAGTAGATGAAAGTTAAGATCTTCCCCTATAGTGTTTGAGATGCCTTTTGGTAACAGCAGTGTAGCTTGGCAGTTACTTGAAATGCATATTTTAAAGTATAACAAAGCTTGGCTTGCGACCTTGTGCTTATAATTAAAATAAAACCTGTGTAGCTATATTTCCTTGGGTTCTGTATACATACTGAAATATATTCACACCTGGAAAAAGAGCTCTTGACAGAAACACTGTGTAAGGTCTGGAAAAGAAATCATGGCATTTGGTTTGAAAAATAACAGGAAAAATAATGTTAATGGAGTCAAGAAATGACTTTACAATTGCTCCTGAAAAACTAACGGAAAATGAGACCTGTGAAAGCAGGTAATAAGTAGGTAAGTGAGTACCTTAAGATGACTAAAATTGTGAAGGCATGCTACTAAGATTAAGCTTTTATATTTAAATGTAATCCCTGTTTGTGTTTAAATAATAAGGCACCAGGTAGGTTACTACTTCTGAAATAATATAATAGATCAAATAAACTTCCTACGATTTCTAGTTTTTGTCAAATATTTGTGCTTTGTTTACTGTAGGCAATTAAACTGGACCAGTTAGTTCCATTTTATGTTACTCATCCGTTTGCACATGGTATTTTGCTTCCATTTTAAACATGCAGGTAACACTCAAACCATTGCCATAGTCAAATTTACAAAGTAATCCTTGAGAACGTTTCTGTTACCATAGGCTGTTCCCCTTTCATAACGAGTTTGAAAGTCAGGAGCTAAAACTGTTCAAAACTTAAGGTCATGGGACTGGTATTTGATTTTCATAAACTGATGAAGCACCATTTTTTGAAAGATGTTAGTGTAGCATGTGTCTTAACTACCCTTGCTTATAAGACCACCACAGACCTCACTGCTCTTCTCATTTCTAGCTTAATTATTTTATTGACTGTTACTGTACTGTTGTCCTTTAATTTGAGTTCAAGCTCTTTCCCCTTGAGTTCTTGCCTTGTACATCATCTTCTAACAAGTGACCAGCGGTTGCCCTCCACTGAGGAGGTCTCAACTTGTAGGAGAAGATTCTGTGGTCTGGTACCCAAGGGCACCATCTTGTACTTTGTGCTCCACACCTTTGACCCCATTTCTGTTTTTCTACTCTCTGTCAAGTTTGGCTTCCTCCTGTACAGTGTCCTACCACTCCTCTGTCTTAACTGCATATCCCAGCTCTGTGTCAACCACAGACTTCATCAGCTGATGAAATCTGGGGAAGACTGACACACAGAGGCATTGAATGCCTTACCTCCTGTCATGCCCTTCCAGTGGCAGAGCTGAAAGCAGAGCACAGGGCTCCTCACGTCAGGTCTTTTGCTCTACCCATTTGTTTCACTTGAGCTGCAAACTCAGAGGAGCTGTCTTCATACACAGCTGCAAGGGAGCTGCTGTGCTTCACAAAGAAGAGGTTAGCATGATCTAAATGTGGTGATGGAAACAATCTAAAAAAGATAATTTTTTAATTCTCTTTTTACTTCTCTAACCCAAGTTGTCTTTTACTGATATTTTCTTAAACAGTAAGGCAACAAGGAGTTAATGCAGGTAAACAACATTTGCCTAATTCTAAGCTGGGTTTCCATCTGGAAACCACTGTTGCACTGGTCCTAAGACTGCAATGCACTCTTGTTAACACATTTACTATGTATTTCATTTCTTTGTCAGTAAGAATGAAAAACAAAGGTAATCATTAGTGTTATAATGTGTGAAAATATGTGTTTTTGAAGATTAAAGCAAGAACAACAAAGACCCATTAAGAAAATATATTTTTTATTAGCCTTCTTTAGTCTCTCTTTGGAAGCTGAAATTATTTTCCCTAGATGAATCCTTCTTCCATTTGATATAGAGTGTTGTACTGGGTCTCTAACACAGCTGGCGTGAATACAAGTTTCATTCATATTCTGCAGCCTGGGAGCCACTTTTTCAGCAGGAAGATGCTTATTTCAGGAAATCATTTCACAGCTCGCAGTGCTCTAGAGAGAGCACAATTTCTTTCTAGTGGTGCTACCCCAGAGGCCGCCTCAGTGACTGCTATATCAAATCAGGATGCCCATGTACAACACAGTTACAATTCATAGTGCAAGATAGGATCTTAACATATATCCTTTGATGATATATATAATTTTTTATCCTACAGTCCTAAATGCAAGGGAAGAGGCTATTCTGGCAAGTAAAAAGTGTGACTGTTTCTGAATTTATCACACAGCGACTCCTCCAGCCCCATCTTCTTATACCTGTCCCCAAGAAAGATACGTGCAAATAGGATAGATAAAAGCAAGTTGCAGTCTTCACTTTGGGCATAAGCAAACAAATTCCATTGCCTAGAGAGTTTCCAAATTGGGGGTGGAGGAGGTGTCAAGAACGAATCTCAGACTCTGTAGGATCCTAAAAGCTGAGTGCTCCCTGCCAGCTAGGATCACGTAGCAGTGATCTGATCGGCTTGTGAAGGAGCTGTCCCATGGGTCACCCCAGAAGTGGCTGAGCAGTGCCACACATGACTGTTCCCTTGCCCTTGTCTTTCATGACTCGCCAGCCCCTGCCGTGCCCACCCATCTCCCCATGGTGGTGGTGGGCTGCATAAGGGGACTCTTCGAAGCTCCCTGGGATGGGCTCTCTGAATGCCCTGCATCCCTGTGCTCCCTGGGGATGAGCAGGGTCCCACACCCTAGGGGGAGGAGAGGAGACTTAGGGAACCATTTTGCCATAACTAAAAAACCTCTTCATTTCTAAATTTGAAGGGAAAAATACATTACTTTGTCCTCATCTTTGAGGTGGACAAATTGAACTGCTGAGTGGTCTTGAGCTGTCTCTTGCTACATGCCTCTCCTTGCTGGCTGTTTTGCCTCTTCCCTCAAGATCAGGAACCAAGATAAGGGAGTGAATCGCACTGGGAAGCCTCTAGGGAGGAACCAGCCTAGCACCTGGACTAAATCCACACAGGGAAGCAGTGCCAAGGCTTTGAAGAAACTGGGTTTTTGACCTAGTTGAAGGAGGGAGAGGGAAGAGAACTCATTACCCAGACGTAAAGAAGAAAAGAAAAAGAAGAAATCAAAGAAGCAAACCCTGGAAACCATACAAATACAACTGAATCAGCAGGCTGTTTACATCACTGCTGCAAGTTGTAGGCTGGACAAGACTTTACTTGTTTAAAACTTTAAGTAGGTTCAGCTGTGTCAGGGCATATCTGGTATATAGTGGAGACCTTCTCCGCATCTTATTGATACTGTGGAGAAATTATTCCAGCTGCCGAACTTGTGTTTGGAAGTCCCGTTGCTCGTATTCTAGGTAATACACTGTTTTTTATGTTTCCCTCATCAGCTTTGGAGTTGCTTCTCCAAAACACTTTTCTGTCTGCTAGTGACAGTCCCTATATATTCACACCTGAAGGCTTCAACGTTTTCCCATTGCAATGCATACCTACATGGTATTTATAGTTCTTTTCAACTCTCCACTGACTCTGGGCAGAAACAGAAGTTGCAGGACTTCCTCCATCAAAACGCTAAAGGGCCAGCATCAGACCTGGGACTCCAGGAAAGGAACTGGGCTGTTCACCTGTGCACGTCCACCCATGTTCTCACAGAAGTAAGAGCCTGCAAAATGTTCAGGCTCTTACCTCTGTTCAGGCAACAAGAATTTGCAATATTTTTCCTTCTTTCTCTTGTTTCAGTCTATCTTTTCTCTTGGTTCTCGTATACCTCGTTTCATTAATCCAGTTGCATGATAACCTGTGAGGGATGAAAATGCAAGAGATTCTTGCTCTGCCCCACACTGGTGATGCCCTGCTGCTTGCTCTGACAGCTGTCCATATCAGGGTGTCATTTATCACTGGAGCTAGACTTGCTGCCACTGAAATCAGCACTGGCAAAACTCTCATCACAGGTAACAGGAAGAACCTAGGCCTTTGGTTTCAGGGAGGAAGGTGGCTGGGGGTGCTGGAGTTCAGCCAAGGCTGGAACGGGGACGGGAAGCTGTGATTTTTTAAGTCCTGTAATATACTGTTATCATTGTGTAAAAGGGGGAGTGTAGTCTCGACAGCGAGGCACCAGGTTGGCAGTCAGGTTTCATTCTAGATTTTGTGAGAGGTATTGGGTAAGTCATATAATCTCTCCCTAGCGGAACTTTCCATCTATAAAGTCAGAGTAGTTGGGAGTATCTGTCTTGCCTACCCGGACTGTCGACTTTTTGTATCACTGACTGATGTTTGCACAGTGTCTGGTACTATGACGTTCTGATCGAAATCAGTGCCTACAGACCTCCCTGTCACATAATTAATGAAGTTCTCAGCCTTCAGGTCTTTTGTTCCAGACTGTACGTTCAGGTCGCCACTTCTAAACAGGTCAGTCTACAGCAAATATGTTTGTTTTTCATTGAACACAACTCTGTTTCATAGTGTCTTATGCCATGATAGGTTTGATTGTAAAACTAATGATTCAAACATCTGGTCTTATTGTTGGAGGGTTTTTCGGGCAGGTCAGTACTAGGCATGGGGACTATGCTGATTTAAAAGCTAAATAAAGATGTAGGTTGAAACAAAGCAGATTCTCCTGTTTAACCCATTTTGTATCCCTGGGGCTACTATTTGGCTTAGTATAGTTTTGAAAGCCAAGAAAATGTTATTCATTCTGCTCAAAAGATTGATCACAGCATTTATATCCTGAGGCCCAAATCCTGAAGTCCTTATTCAGACAGAGCTCCCATTGACTTCAAAGGGAGTTCTGTCTGCAGAAGAGCTTCAGAAATAGTGATGTACTGGCTCACAAGGCACTGTAAAAACCTTTTAGTCTCTTTAAACGAAGCTTCATCTGTGGAAGATCTAATAGAGATGTACAACCAGCACGCAAGTTGTGTCATTGAAATGACCAAAAACCTAAAACCATGGGAGTAGGTAGTTAATTCTTGACTACAGTAATGCAAGCAAGCAAGATTCAGCAAGAGTCAGCAGACAGAACTTTTCCATATTGTTCAGAGTACCTAAAGTAAAATCTAGGGATGC